TCTATTTTTGGATAAGGAATTTTCAACTTTATTAATCCCTCACCGTTTGTTCTTGTCAATCTAGATCGTCTAAACAATTCGAAATGTCTTTTTCTTCCACTCTCGTATTGCGTGTTCTTTGCCTAGACTACTTTACCCCTTTTTACCACAGTTAGATCTCTTACCAGATGTCTTTCTCCCTTACGCGAAGCAATCAAATACCTACGATGTGGTGGCTTCAATCACCTGTTTCATTCTCCAATTCCCGTTAAGGAGCTGACGCGTCTAAATAATGACACATCAGGGCACGAATTTACTACCTTACCTACCAGGTAGGTACTATACGGTTATTCTCGATAATTGTAGTATCACGACGACCTCTTCGACTACCTACTTACCCTGGCCTTCTGACCGCGAACTGCAAGTGGTAAACCTCGAAATCATCATAATATATTATATGATAGGGTTTGCCTTGATAAGTCTTTTTTCCCCTTGTGACTAGAGAGATCACGGGTCTGGGCAGTTGCACAAGTATCCCCTATTTAAAGTATACTTATGTACATGGCATGAGGAAGGAAGGCACCTGCAGGTAGGTTAAATCGTGGATTATGTACGTGCTCTACTATTCTACTGCTCCCGAGAGGAAAGAGTAGTCAAATCTAGAATTGGTAGGTGCTACATAGCTTGGAAATAGGTATGGTAGGAACGGCGGCTGCATGCTCCCATTATTTACGGTACCTTGGGCAACTTGCTTCGATCTTCAGAATGCATGTGCACTCAACCATCAACCTACAGGGAGGTAATATACCGCGTTATCATCAATTTCCGTACATCTATTCCAATCTTTCCATGTCGTCGTCTAGATATATTTTAATAACTATAGTTATGTCCAAGTGTCTAGCTAAGTTATGAATTGGACTGAAGGGAATCTCTCCCGCCATTCTAGGGGTAGGCAACGCAATGAATTACTTACACGACAAAAGCAACATTTTGCCAAGGTTCGCAATAATCTACTAAAAAGCGACGTAAAACGGAGTCCCGTATCCATATCATTCCTCGGAACTCAGTACTCGCGAGACCTGAAGCGCCGCGATGATTCAAGTAGTGCAGCATACAAGCCACCTTCGAGCCCCCTTTTAGCGGAGAAGCGCAAGCGGGCTTGTAGCTCCCTTGATAATCCAGATCATCAATCCTCCACGCGCGAGAAGAGAAAAAGACTACTAGACAAGGCAGACTGGGTCGGATTAAACTTACAGCAACCTATTGATATTACTTTCCCAGGGCAACTCCGGGCACCCACTGGTTCAAGATGGAGCAAAGTAGAGCGCCCTCGAGTTCGCATGATTCGGAAGCACCGCGAAGACTCACGTACACCTCAACTGGGGGCTGCTCATGATTCCCACAGTCCATCCCTGAAGATTCAAATTGGGAGCCAGGAGATCCTCCGAAGCGCCAGTAAATCATCGCAGTCGAAAACAAAGAGATACAGTCTCATACCACAGCCCATAGCCGGCATACCACGGAGAAAATCAAATCTAACCTCAAGTCCGGAGTCCAGCCAAACCCAGCGTCCGTACGTAGTATCTAGGAACGGCCAGCTCTTACAGGTGCCAAAGGGTGAAGGTCATAGGATAGCAGGGGAACAGCAGGGCAGTGCGTACCCCGAGGCAATCAAGAAATCCTTATTTCCAGAGGAGCCAACTCATGTTGTATATTCCTCCTCGATAATCCATGAACCAACCCCTCTCCGAGCCAATTATTTTACGGTACTTCGATGGACTCCCTCCGGCTCCGATGATCAGGGAAGCATGCAGGTAGAGATTGACCGCCCCTTGAGACCGATTCCATTATCCCAAGAGGGAGACGAGGAGACTTGGAAGAACTGGGTGTCTACTTCCTCGATGATCCAGCCGGTTAGCGCCTCGGCTAACTCTCCGATTGCAATATCGTCTGTCAGTTCAAGAGCCGGCGGCTTGCCCTCTCACCTACAGAGACGGCTGCCAAGCTATGAGATCTCAAGCGAGGTAGGAATAAGCACAAATTATCCGTCTCACGAGCCCAGCATAGATGACCAAGAACCCCAAGCTACAAACCATGGAAGTCACCATCAATCACCTGAGGAAAAACCAGGTCATAACAAAATCGAAACCCAACCGCCAGACGATAATGCCGTTTGGATGAAGTTTGCTTTGAGCGACAATAGCGATGAGTTAGAAGCAAGAGTGTTCGCAGAGGCTGCATATAAAGCTGCAGCAGAATTATGTCCTTCTGATACGTCTACGAGCTTCAATGATGCAGCTAAGACAGTTGCGACTCATGGGACTAATCCGGCTAGCAATGAGAATCAAGATGAGAGCATTTCCTCTGGATACTCGGATGAAAGTCATGTGGCAACAAATGGCACTGTGGCATCGGAATCGGTACTCAGCAATATAGCTACAGTCGGCTCAACAAGTCAAATGGAATTAGAACCTCGATTTCGCTTTGCGCAGCCGAGAACATTCGTAGGGAAATTCGCTAATTCAAATGTCACTACGACAGAAGGATCACATCTTCTATCTCATAGTAGGAAAAGGAGAGGTAGACCTAAGAAACGGACCGCGGATGGGAGGGCGAATATCCGACGACTTCCAGATTTCGATGGGGATCCTATCGAAGAATTTGAAGATGACTAAAAACATCTACCTATACTCGCTAAATCCTCAGCTATAAAAGGTAACCAATTACTCGAATTTATCATGAATAGCTACCACAATGTCCACAATATTAGGCACCAATTGAAATTAGTAGAACTTGTGTAAACTAAGTACTTGCTTGTCATAAATCATACCCTAAGATAGCCTACTGCCTATCTTAGGTAGGTAGGTAGGTATACCGGAGTTTTTCGGGCTGGGACTTATTAAGACAACAACAATAGGGCGCAGGCATAAAAACTCTCCGGAACATATAATCAAGATACAATATCCTTCTCCTTATTTTTCTTCCCTGCGTAATTCACTACTTACTGCCTAGTAGTCGACATTCATACGACTAGAGTCTTTACGGTCTTTTAAATCTTACGCTTCACACAAGTTATCGCCAATTCGGCCAAGTGATTATGGCGCCCGCGTCGGAGGTTGATTTGTTTGCGCCCTTCGAGCGGGATGTCATACTCGAAATCCGGACGAGTAAAATGGAAATTATGCCAGGACTGAAGATTGAGACGGGCATAAATAAGAGGATTCGTACCGGCCGCATTCCCGTGACCTTCGGCGGACTTGATGCGGATGAGCACGATCTCGTATTCCACGGGGGCCCGGATAAAGCAATTCACGGGTGTAAGTCCGAGCGCCTCCTGATTTGCAGCTTGCCGAGTCATACATGCATCTATAACGATTCTAATCTACGCTCCAGACTGCTGTTCCCACTATCCTATATGGCAGAAGGAGTTCCCTGAGGCTGCTACGCGCTTTAGGCCTGGCGGATTTGGGGAAAACTTTGTGACTGAGCGCAGTACGTATTTTTACCGTTGTTTAATTTTCCCCCTATTCAAGAATTCTGTCTTACCCCTCATAACTAGTGAATGAGCGTAATGTATGCATAGGCGACGTAGTATCCGTCGGTGACGATGGCGTGTTGCTTCAAGTTAGTCTACCGCGGCAGCCGTGTTTTAAGCTGAATCACCGGTTCCAGCTCAAAAACTTCGCACCCAACACATACAAGACTAGCCGTACGGGTTGGTACTATAGGGTGCTACACGAGGGCACGGTGCAGGCTGGTGATGAAATCCGGCTTGTAGAGCGCAAATGGCCTGGATGGACTATCGAGCGCGTCCAAGAATATCTTCACCGAACGCAGGATAACGCCACCATGAACGAAGAGCTTGCTGCTATTTCAGATATGGGCGATGAGAGTAGGAAGGCATTTGAGCGACGTGTCGAGAAGCTCAAGGCTAAGCAGAGGCGCGCTGCTGCCGCACTCAACGGGAATAGAGATGAAGCAAAAGAGAAATGGCGCGACTTCAGAATCGTGGAGAGGAGGATTGAGACGCCGCGTGTCTCATCATTCATCTTAGAAGCGCTACATCCTGACCCCGAAGCTGGGGAGATGCAACTTGGCGCACATGCACGTCTCAGATTACCCAACGGACTTCAGCGGTCCTACTCCATCGTCTCAGGTACGCCCAACCGCTTCGAACTAGGCATCGCCCTCGAGGAGCCTAGCCGCGGCGGGTCCTCGTATCTACACAACACAGCGCAGGTAGGCGACATCGTGCAGATCGGGCGTGTGACAACGGACATCAAGCCCGCGGGCGCAGCCAGCAACCATGTCTTCATCGCGGGCGGCATCGGCATCACAGCCTTCCTCAGCATGCTCGAGATGTACCACAAAATCCACTGGGAATCGACGCTACACTACGGCGTGCGCAACGCATCTTCAGACGTGCCATTCCGGGCACGGCTCGAGGCGCTCGGCGACTCGGTGAAGATGTACGATCGCGCGAAGGGCCAGCGGATGAATATCGCGGCGATATTTAGCGGCTTACCGTGGAACTCGCATGTATATGTGTGCGGGCCACAGCACATGATGGATGAGGCGATACGGGAGGCGAAGGCGCGGGGGCTTGGCGAGGACGAGGTTCATTTTGAGGCCTTTGGGGCGGATACGAGCGGTGACCCGTTCGAGGTGGAGGTCACGTCGGCTCGGGAGAAGAGCAGTAGGGTTTTGAAGGTAGGTGCGGAGGAGACGTTACTAGAGGTGCTGAAGAGGCATTTTGGGGACGAAGATGTGCCGTCTAGTTGTGAGGTGGGTAATTGCGGGACGTGTAAGGTGGTGCTGAGGAGTGGACGTGTTGACCATAGGGGTACGTCGCTAATGGAGGAGGAGAGGAAGGATGCTATGCTGAGTTGTGTTAGTAGGGGTATTGGGAAGATTGCTATTGAGATATGAGATGGTATCAAGTCAAGGCTAGAGAGTATAACTATTACAGCGAGTAATTACGGTAATTGTAATCTTTTTGTTCCCCATGGCAGTCGTATCCATTAGATGATCGTCAATCTTGTTGCAAGGCCCCCCTTTTTATGTAAGTGGTGAGTCCAATAGCCGGTTATGTGATGGATATCAACGAACCTCTTCATGACTGAGTTTAGTTATATAAGAACTCGAGTACGCTTAAAACAAGGATAGTCTAGGACTTTTCCTCTTGAGGCGACTACTAGGGGAGAAGGTTTGTTTATACGAAATAAGGGCCCCTGCATATATGCTACTGGATAATGAGGTTTAACGCTATGAGACCAGGTCTGCGTCAGCAACTCTAGCGACCCCGAGTTGCTAGCAGTATTAAGCCTCCATTCCATCTCTTCTACTGTCCACAATACCCCACAACTCCTGCTACCGTCGTTTATTGAATATGCGGCCGCTGCGAGTGCTGCATATTTGTGCCACTCGTAGTTCTTGTGCGAATCGGAATAATGACAAATTCCTCGGATCACCAAGCAGGGAAAGTTGTTCATCAAGCCAGCAGCTTCCATTTCAAAGCATAATACTTTAAGTTCCGGATCCCGAGCAAGTTGGTCTCTTTCTTTGGCGCTTTTCATAACCGAGTTAGCGGATGCTATGATACCGTAATGGACATTGACAGCTCGTTTGGCTACCCTGGGTAATCGCTGCTAGAGCCCATCTGCTAGACACTTCTCGCATGTGATTCCACCCTGGTGCTCGTAATCTGCGCGGTATAGTCGATCTTCATTAGGGCGCTGATATTCAAGCATATCATCCATCAGCTTGATATGTTCTGCTAGTTTATCTGGCTTCCTGGGGTCATTGTGTCGACGCTGCATCTCGGGGATCGCCCCTAATAGCAAACCTGGGGGGGAGTTCATTTGGCCAGTTTGTTGGAACCGACCTCCTGATAACCTCTTCCCAAAGTCATACTGTATGACACCTCCTAATCTACCTTGTGGTACACTGACAACCACATCGCCAAGACGTATGTCTCTCTCTGGTGTTGGAGCACCTCCGCCAATGCCCACCATTAAAGCGAATTTTAAAGAAGGAAAAGACCGAATCATGTCCTTAGCAACGATAGCAGCAGAACTAATACCATATCTACCATGTGGGAGACATCCAATTACCACATTATGTTGATGGATGCGACCAAGAACTTAGGTATTGTTGTCATTTTCGTTGGCCACATCGGGACCTTCGAACTCGTCGTCAAGCATACGGCATGCGGCTTCATACTCTTCCTGCAAGGCGCAAATCCAGCCGATAGTGTAGTCATCGGGGTTAGCCATGGCTGGCAGCAGTGACTCGTAAAGATATTATGTTGAAAGCTTGACGTAACTACGCTGCTGGACTAAGAAATTAGTTCAGCTATCGATGTAATTTTATTTTATGATGGGATGATACTTAGGCGGGGATTTATTAAATATTAGAGTGGTATAGGTGGGTATATTGAGTATTCGTTATATGGATCATAAATACCTCTCGATGATAGGTGATTAACTTGCAGTCTCTTCCTGTTGACTTGTGTCTGTCCTCTCTACCTTTGTGCCTTTCCCGCCAAGCCAGAAATAAGCCACTATTGCCCCTGATGCTGCCCAGATAGCAAAGCTCCAAGTCAGGGTTCCCCATCCTGCTGACTCTACAACGTAACCGGCCCATAACGGCCCTACAACTCCTCCAAGAGAAAACGCCACGTTAAAAAGCCCGTAACCGAGTCCGTAAACACCTTTATCTCCAAATATTCCTGGTTGCTCAGCGACTTTCGCCTCGATAACGTAGGTGATCTCGGCCATGAGAGGAACATTTGCGAATGCTAGTGCGATGCCTAGCAGGGCAAGTAAGAAGCAAAGAAGTACCTTATGCTGAATGCTATTCTGCGTGACGAAACGGAGACACACAAGTAAGGGTATTAAAACACAGAACCCAAAGAAACACGGCCACCTAGCACCATACTTATCCGCGAGCCAACCAACCAACGGGGAGATGAAACCTGGGAGAAATATTGCTAGAAATAGAATTCCGGCAGCTGTAGAATTCCAACCAAAGGTGCGCTGGACGAATAAAGCTAATGTGGCATCGAACCCCATCCTATCCAACGTTAGCCCAGATTGTGACTACCATTTAAATCCATAAGTATGATTGCTTGAACTTACATGATGCCGGACTCGACGAGGAGACAATATAGTGCGGCAAATAGCCTCGTGGATTTCAAAAGGCTCTTAGAAGCACACCATATGCTAATCGTTTCCGGGGGGGCCACCGAATCTCGGTTTGGTATATCCGCAGTTTCGATCCGTTTTTCTTCATTATTATTATCTTGAAGCTGGCTCTTATCCCTTGGACCCGGCTCTGCAAGATTGTGTTCTCCGCTTGCTTCAATGGAATCCGCGCGACCTTGGAGACTCGGCGTGATGGGTGAGTTGCCCGTCTCCATGTCGACCTGATTCGCCCTTTCTTCTGAAGGACCAGGTGTCTCATCCTCTTTTATCCATTGTCTAGCAACCTTCTTCTCGATCATCAGTAGTCGTAGTAAGATATCTACTGCAACGACGCCAAAGGCGATGTAGTAAACAGCATAATAGCCTGCTGCAGCGTAGACCGAACCGCCGATCACGGGAGCAATAAGCAGTCCGACACTCATCGCTACGCCGACGTACCCCATAGCAACGCCTACCGCGCTCTTCATGGTGTCAACAAGAAGCGCACATCCTACACTCCAGACGATAGACGCACTAAACCCTTGGAGAATTCGGCCCAAGACCAGGAGGCCTATCGAGTTACCAAAACATAGCAACAGAGTCGACGCAGCAAGTGCGATTAGTCCGATCAGCAAAGGCCATCGTCGCGACGACGTGTGATCGGCATACAGTCCAGCAATAGGACTGCCGATGAGTAAGGCTACACTATAGCAGGCTAGAAGAATCGATGTCCAGTGTTGCACTTGATCCTCGGCGATTCCAACTTGAACGGTGAGCGAAAAGGGGATGACCGGAACGATCAACGCATAATAGAAGATATCGGTGAAGATAGCCAAGCCCACTTTTCATCATCTGTCAGCAGGTCTAGGTTGAATGCGGTGTTATAGGATTCATTGAAGCAGTTGTCTGTTTAAACTGAAGTTTATGGATCTTACATAGGTATACGAACCGGTAAGTACTATTAGGGTAGTTGAGGATCTGATCGAAAGGAGACAAGGAGGTTTTGACTTTGAGTCCTTCTTCGTCCCCGAGAGGAACTGCCAGGCGTTGGGGAATAATCTCATCTTGAATCCTACCTAATGCCTCACATCTATAGTTGGTGTTTATCAGAAGAGGGAATATATTGTATAGAAATCTATCAGGGGTAGCTGTCTTTCCTGGAGGTAAGAACTTGTATTCCCGTCTAATAAAATCAAGTGACATCAAGATGAGAGGCCAAATTATCGGCCAAGAGGCCGAAGTGGATATACGAAGAGACAAGCTAGGATTCCGCGGGGTCGGTCCGGCAACCGGGGTAGTTGACTACATACGACGGTAGCATTGATTACATACTTCGGATCGCCGCATAGTAGAAGGGATCTCTCTATTGTATTTATTTTATGGTAAGACTCTCCTTACAAGAAGCTAGAAATAAATGAATCAGGGCTGCGAAACTAAAACTAGGTATAGTTAGGTACTTAAGGCAAAGAGCTCTCAAATTAACCAGAATCTCATAGATTAAAGTATTTGTATATAGATCTGCGGGCTCCGACTAAACAGGAATGACTCATGATTGAAAATGTCAGCCATGTCTATGAAGAGATTATGAAAGAAATTAATACGACGTAGAGGTATGTAAGGTATCGTTTTCGTTCCCGTGTATCAATTTGAGAAAAGTTGGTGGGGAATAAACCAATGTTATTACTCTGTTTACTTGCATATTACTACAGCTGAATACCTTACCTAAATATTGACATAACCTCTAGATGCATAACTAGCTGCCAATGCTTATCTGTTTACCTTGACCCACTAAAACTTTTCTCTGTTTTCTTCCCATCAATGATTAAATGATCAATGATCAATGATCAATGATCCATCATCACGCAAGGCTGATACTCCTCAACTCAAGTTCGCGGTTTTGCGACGACTTACAGCCAAAATGCTTCGAACATCTACCGCGACCGAAGAATTTACCGAACTTCCCATTTCTATTCCTCCACTTCCATCCTTTCCGGTCGAAGCAATACATTCTACCTATCTTCGGCGGAATACCCCTAAAATACCAACTCCAAATGATTCCCGAAGCCTCTTTATCGCCAACGTTCCTTGCGATAGTACTGTAGAGCATTTTCGAGCTTTATTCGCTAGTCTAGTCGGACCAGGTAAATTCGAGACCATCACCTTTGAACATGACAAGAAACCCTTATGGCCTACCCATGAGCCTGCCCAGGCCACAAGATTAGCTGCGCATGGCAAGAGGAAAAGAGAAGAGGAAGAGATGCAACACGTTGAAATCAAAGCCCGAGCTGCCTTACCTCCCACATGGTCGCGAAAAGTATATCCCAGTGGTAGTTCTGCTGTCGCCTTGTTCGCCGACGAGAAGAGCGCCGGGTTGGTCCTAAAAGCTGCCAAGAAGCTGAAAAAGCCAAAACATTATCCTGTTTGGGGCAAAGGTGTTAGGGATAGCGATAACGCGCCTCTAGGTTCTCAATGGCTAGTAAATCATAACATCCTGGCCTTCCCAGATAAAGATGAAGTCCAGGCCTCGACGGATGCCTACTTTACTCTTTTTAACAAGATGGAGAAAGAAGCGCGTCAACTTGCCAAGAGGCTCCGTAATGAACCAGATGAAGATGGTTTTGTAACGGTCACACGAGGCGGTCGTGCTGCGCCAGCTAGAAGGGACGAGGCCGAAGAAGCCAGGCAGAAGATGATCGAAAGAGAGCAGAAGAAGAAGGATGAAATGACAAATTTCTACAGGTTCCAGATGCGTGAGAAGAGGAAAGCTGAGCAGACCGACATGCTACAGAGATTTGAAGAGGATAAGAAGAAAGTACAAGCTATGAAAGAGAAGCGAGGGAGGTTTAGGCCCGAGACCTAAGATAATATCACCATTAAGAGTAAATCTATGTCCTAGGCTCACCTAATGGGTTACCTCCGTGTCCAGCCCTTGCGCTGTCTGAAGGTAGTGTCGCCAATTCTTATTCAGACCTACCCCAGGTAAGCCCCTTTCCAATTAACCTTATCCCTCCTAAATGATGACGAGCACGGGGCCAGCGAAGTTCTGTCAAGTCTGGGAATCCAGATCCTTGATGGTGCATGCCGAAAAAAACCGTGTTATTATTATATCTTCTCAAACTTGTCTGAAAAGGATCTTTATTACTAGTTTTATATTTAATCTCGCGTATGGCAGGTTGCTAATACAGTCTCTAGGTCTTCCAGTCAGGCATGATAAAGGGGAAAGGATAGCTAAACGCTATTATATAGACGAGGCAATCAAGACAGGATGTCTTATTGGTAGCCTTGATAACTACTACTACTATTAAGACTTGGATCCGGCGATTTTACGATGTAACGCCATTAATACGGCGTTTATATTGGCTACTAAACGATCCATAAGCGCACTAGAAATAGTATCGATCGGATGTAACCATTAGGATGTAACCGGAGGTAGTGCAGAGTAGTTTAATCTAATGCAGCCAAACTTCACCAATGTTGATCTGGGGTATCTCACGACTATATTTCCGATACCCGTCTTACTCTTACGCGCGCGCGTGTGGGTGTGGGTGTGTATTTAACGCCGTGGCTGGCCTCCCTAGGGGGTATACGGCCTATAAGGCTACTGATCTCAGTATCTTACACATAACCTTAAGAAGCATACATGATCATTCAAGCCCTTCCAACCTTGATCACCATATAGGGATCCCCGAGGTCCCCTAGTCGAAAAAGTCTTACTCCTATATGAGAATCTTTAAGGAACTTTACAGCTGCTAACACTTAACTTCCTACCTATGACATCTAAGTAGCGATATAAACTTGACTATATGATTATACACTTTGGTTACAAATTCACACTAAAACATCTGAATAGGTACTTCAATTTCTATTGACCAGCACTGCCTTAATTTAGGACACCAGGATAACCTACTGGCCAACACATATATGTACGTTTAAATTATGGTATCACTAATATTATCGCGCCTTTCTGGTCTAACCAAAGACGAACCTCTAAAATCGCGGAACTGAGATATACATATATGTCTTTGAGACAGCTTGGGGGCCAAAAGTCTTGTATAAAAACTTTCGAGGCAATGATGAGCAGTGACCTGATACCAAGGATGTGACACCACAGCCCTATTCCTGCACGAATATGCGAGGTGATCCTGTTAATTCTAGCCTGGTTTCTGGTGCGTAAGTTACATCCCGTCATATCATCCCCCCTGGATTTATCTACATGCTGTAGCGGCCTTTAACACCCGCTCTTCCCCACGCCAAAACGATACCAACTTGACTCCCTTGTCTATATCGATACCCAATCGCTGATACTTGATGAACGAGACAAGTTCAAGCTCACGAGAGCGCCAAAAATGGACAGTCTCAACTTCTGGGGCGATCGCAAGAGTAGCTCCAGCGGCTGGAAGCAGGCTGCCAAGGTCAATTGCATTACTCTTACTTGCATGTCGGTGGTCCTGATCAGTTGCTTGATATCTGCCATATCCAGGAGTGGCGGTCTTGGAAAGGCATTGTTCTTTTACGATGGTACCTGCGATGGCGGCAACGTGTCCCAAGTTAATATGACGCTTCACTTGCTTATAAATGTCGTATCAACACTTGTGGTAAGTTCTCTTGGTGCACCTAGAGAGGGAGTTTGGCAATCAGTGGTAGGTATTTATCGATTTGAACAGTTAATGCTAATCCCGACTTGTATAGTGAGTTAGCTTTCAATATTATACTATACTGCTAGATCATTTATGGGATAAAAGACTGGTCGAAGCCAATTGTTACCCATATCATCCTCTTACGGTGTTAGGCACGACTATTTCCATATTATCCCACAACGACTCAGCTTAAGCTTTTACAAAGATAGCCAAGGCTGGTTTCATTTCTGAGATGGTGCTTTGGAATCTTCTAAGCTACTTAAGTTGACTCTGGTTTATTAGGTTAGCTTCAAGTAACTTCTTCATGCAAGTTTTAAACTCTCCGTCGAGAGAAGAAATAAATGCAGCACACTTCCAAGGTTCCTGGTTGGGAATCGGCATACCGTCAGTCCGCAATGCCTTCAGAGTCTCCAAGTTCAAGACTGCGTGCTGGATTTGTTTATTTATCAGCTCGATTCCTATCCATCTTCTATTTAACTCGACGATATTTGAGACGGACTGTAAGCAATATTCGTTGACCCCTTCTCTCTACCTTTACACTATACGATTGGTAATATAGAGGCGTTTTTTTGCGGCTCAGTATTGCTTCCCTAATCGAGAGGTTATTAATGATCTGTGCTACAGATAGAGGATCTGACTTCCACCTAACGATTGCTACTGAGGAGTTTCTAAACGGGGGAAGCTTCTACCCCCCTGGAGGAAGTTTAGTCCAAGCCGGCTTCGATCTATATGCGGGGTATCCAGGCATGATTACGGAAACCACTAGTATTAACGTCGATTTATTGGAAATTCACAGTGGATATGGCTTACCAGTCAACCTGACCGAATACGCTAGTAAGGATTCTGATGCTATGAAAAACATATCGACTACAGCGACGAGTGCCGGACAGTGGAAGAGACTTGAAATAAGCGAATGCAAGCAAGAGTACATTAAATGTAATGGGCTCAAGCGTCATCGTAACGTGGTCCTCATCACCGACAAGCCAGGTGGCTGGATAAGAGACGAGATATGGCATCTGATGGACAATCAAACTGAACTATGGGATCGTTACGTCCCTGCGGACCAGCCCAATCACTTATTCTACGATGCACAATGTTTTATGCTCGCGTTACGTAGCAGTAAAACTACAGAATGCATGAATAACTGCATCGGGGCGTTTGGAATTACACACGCTAGTATCCCGGATTGGAAATACTCTTTCTTCGATGTAATCGGCAATGGGATGGTCAACGGAACAACTATCTATAAACAGACCAGTATACTGACATCCGGTCTACAACCGGGAGCAACCAATTTATCTGTACAATACTGTCTTGCGGACGACCTCGACGGAGTCTGCCATATTGGCTTGTCATCAACTCTACTACTAACAGTCACATTATGCGTTATATTCAAAACTTTCACGGCTATCGTTGTTACGATAGTTCTGAGCCGCCAGAACCAGGCACCGTTAGTGACCCTAGGAGATGTCATGGAGTCTTTCATCGAAAAGCCAGACCCTGTTACCGCCGGTATGTGCACTATTGGACAAACGGAAATCCGAAGGTCAATGAGATCCTATAGATCCTTATTATTGCCAGGGCCAAGGCAATGGAAAACGTTGCAGAAGCGTCGATGGGCAGTTGTTCCTCCGTTGGTATGGATATCAAGCTATCTGCTATTTGGTATAGGCATTACTATTTGTGCTTACTTCTTCGCGGATATAAAACGCCACAGCAACCTGTGAGTACTCCTAAAATGTGCATAACGCCAAAGAACCCCTTTGACTTAGACGACAGTATCGGCTCATTCTACGAGAGCGAAATGAATTCATTCATCGACTCCCCTTTCACCTTCACACAAGGTGTCCTGATTGCTAATAGCCCTCAACTACTCCTTTCATTCTGCTATCTTGCTTATAATAATTTATTTACCCGGCTTCAGATGGCCAGAGAATGGTCGTTGTTTAGTGAATGTTACCAGCCACTGCGAGTTACTGACCCTAAGGTGTGTTAAAATAAGACATCAGTGCCTGAACGTCATGCTAATTACCTGCTAGGGCGGCCAATACTCTACATATCGACTCCAACTACCTTATAAATACAGCATCCCTCTTATAGCTACTAGTATATTCCTTCATTGGCTGCTCTCGAATACTATTTATCTCTTCATATCGATCGGAGGTAAGTATCTCTCTAACACACCTACCTTCCATACAATTCATTGGGGCTTATCGAGCTTACCAACTTTCAGGTTACTTCAGTACCGACATGTTCCTTAGCGGAATCGAAGCCGACCCGAGTCTGCCACCTAACACCGCTATCGCCTTGGGGTATTCGGGTTATTCCCTTCTAGTTATGCTTGTGGTCTCGTGCTTCTTGATCCTGTTGCCTGCGATTCTGAGCATCAAAAAGCTCCCGTCAAACATGGTGATAATTGGGAGCAACTCACTCGCGCTGTCTGCTGCGTGCCACGTCTCGAGCTTGTCACACGCGGTCAGTTCCCGCGCAACATCATCATTCGCCGATTGTCCAGCACCGTCGCAAGTTGATGCCCCACCGACCCTAAAGTCGTCGAGGCGATCGTACGCTCCTCTCACAGACGAGATCTATACCGATGAGGGTAACAGGAGCGACAGCATTGAGATGCAGAACCTCACGCCGATGCTAACTACCACAAGCCGCCACCCATTATGGAAATCAGTGTCAAAGAAGCCACTGCTTGAGCGTACCGAAGAGGATTTCTCTGACGCGGGAGATAAACAGCAGAACGGCCAGTTCACGAAACTTGCCAGGAGCAAGATCCGTTGGGGTGTCGTGGAGATGCCACCTGAATGGCACGCTGAGTACGATAACGCCGACGCTACCGTTGGACACCTCAGCTTCGGCGTTGAGGAAGACGACGTCACGCCTCCGGAGCCGGGACGTTTGTATGCGTAACCAGAGTTAGAAAGCCTGGACTTGGACAATGCGTTTTCTTGTCTCAGGGGCTCTCCTTATAGAGGAAAAGTAAACAAACCTCACCGATAGGAACGTCGATGTCACATACGATCCGCTCGACCGTTCACAATAGTGTACGGCCCCGTCCGCTCAAGGTGTCAAAATGTCGCCTTAGCATGTAATGGCATCGGATTCATCGAGACGGATATCTGCTTGACACCATATTTGGCTCCTACTTGCTTCGGGTTGTTTGATCTCTCATCTTCCACTGTAAAGAAATGGAGGCGTGTGCTCTGGATTTAAATCCTTACATCCAGCATTTGATGTTTCCAGGTTACACTCAAACCTGCTGTCCGTAAAAGCCTGCCGTAAACATTACGAGTCAGTCCAGAGGTTAGACGGTATTAACACTCTATTCTGGTCGCTAGTCAGTATTTTTGATACTCGAGCTGCTATTATATTAGTGTATCGTCGAAACCCACTTAGACCAGGACCCGGATGTTTGAGGACTGACCTAAAGGAGGATATCAGGTCATATTTGCATTTATAAGCATTTGATGGATACATACTACTAGATTCAAGTAGAGCCGTTGCGCATGTTACTATGCAATTTGTACTACAAATGTACGTCTAACTAAGCTTTACGGAATTGCAAGTTTAAAAAAGTAACACAGGTAATCATCATAATGCCATTATGTGACAAAGTGAGTAAAGAAGTAACAAAAGTGATGCACAAATAAGTTGAATAAATCATGCTAAATCATGCTAAATAATACTGGTGACATTACGAATCCCACTCGAAAAAAGAAAAGAAAAGAAAAGCCGGAGGTATAAATGAGTGGAATAAAAATTAATAAATACAGATCACGCTATACAACATCCACTAGGATTCGAAACGAGCTCTGCTGAAGAAGGTATCGTGGGCTTCAAACTCTACCAAAGCGGATAGCAAAGTTATTATTTTACGAATATCCGTCTTACCGTCTTACCGTCTCACCAATCTCACTAAAGAAAGAAAGAGAAATGAGAAAGTCCGGACTAAACCTAGGCTTGACCCGAACTGGTCGAATTGGTGGGCGGTGGGCGGTGGGTGGTAACGCTACTAGTACCGGACAAGGGGGTAACTGCCCAGCGGAATCGATTGGTGGGTCGATCTGGTCTAGATCATGCAATAGCCCCCATGGGCTTACGGGGATTAAACCCCGACTTGGTTTAACCCCAACTAGAGATTCGTTCCAAAGTTTCGTAGTGGTTCGCCGTTGCCGATTTTTTCTTTTCTTTCCACCTCGCGCACATCTGGCATGAAGAACAGCAGATTTGGTGCTGCTTGTTGCTGCATGCCCCGTACAGTACAATTTAGCACTTGTGCAACCTTATTCTATACATAGATAGATGTACAGATCATGTACAGCAGATCTCATAGGGTGCATATTCCGTACATGTAATATATAGGTACCTAGATTAGGTACATAGCGAAAAAAGAGAAGAAGCCACGCTTTCTCTTTTCCCAAGTTGCTATCTTTTGGTAAACTATTTCGTTTAGTTACCTCTTTAACTAACTATCTACTATTTCTATCTCGTTTCTTCTTCTTCTTCTTCCTTTTCTTGGCAACGCTTGGCAGGCTTACATGTAATATCTCATTTAATGGATGCTGCATAAAATTGCTTTTCTCTTACTGGAACCTCCTGTTCTATACAGTATGCACTGTGTCCCTACGGTGAGGTCTAGATGCTTATGTATAGTTGTCAATCTGTTACCGTTTTTATCCTCTAAGATCTTGCGAATACACATGGCATGACATGGTAAACATTTTTTGTCGATCAGCAGGCCAGAAATTTACTGGCAACTTCAACATGCACAATATGTGTTTATATAAAAGTCCGAGACAACGGAGCGTTCGTTACTAAATACCAATTACCCAGGCGGATGTAATGGGGGTTCGATAAGGATAATACGGGTCTAACTAGAAATGGGCTGAGCTGGAGCTTTAGCTGGCTTTTAAGTATATGCATAATAAAACGAAGGAATGAACGACTGCCACTGTCCTTGTGTGTGGTAGCACCGCGTTCTATTACTCAAGTCCTGACTCCTTCCTAGGCAATATGTACCCAAGCAATACCCATGTACATATGTAGCGTGGCAGAATACTAACCTAGGCAGTAGGCAGAATAGTCTATTCGCCGTTGCACCTGCACCCAAATTCAGCTCCCCCTTCCAATTGATTTGCATGGACCTATCCGGCCAAAGGCAAGGGTACCCTACCGAACATACCGAAGTTTCCTGTGAGCTGCGAACGGCGATCAACGTTCCTCTCCTTCCAATTCCACTACCTATCTACATAACTACATCTAGTTATCTGAAGGTAGACAAGCTTACCTTACCTCGAACTTTTTGCCTTAGCACGTAACCACACCACCGTTACTTTTCACCTTTTCTTCCCCTCGTTGCACTAACACGGCATTCTTGACACGGCAGGGTGGATGGCCGTTGTATAATATTATATTACTTATTTGTATAATCATATTATCTTTCTTACCTTTGTCAGACCTGCCTAGGTATACTACTTCGGTGTGTGGTGTTGTATCTTAAACGAAGCAGAATTCGTCAAAGAGATTTGATAGCTCCTCGTCTTTCATCATCATCGCATCGCTTTTTCCTCCCTTCCGACTTTGCGATCGAGTTCGACTAAACTGCGACGTTCGGAGGATGCATAGGTTACGGTATCTACCAGATTTCCCGTTATAGGCCGGAATAATGAGAGTTGCGATCCGGGAGCAGTTAGCAGCCCTCGTGCTGCTTGCTGTGCTCGTCGCGCTCGCTGTCGTCTCTATACCTACTTGGATTTACGTCAACCGTTTCGTTATTGGAGTAGAGACTAATGGCCTCTCCTTAACCGCTTCTCTCAAAGCCGCCCGCGTTGCCTCCGAAATCGAATTGATCCAGACGACATGCAACCACATATCAACGAGACTACTTATTCAAAACGCTCTTGCATCTTTTTATCGCGGTAACGAATCTGATGCTCTTTGGGACTCCGCCTCTGCCGATGTCATCAGCGCCTTGATCACTCCGCCGGGCGTTTCTACGAATCTCCTACAAGCAAGAATCTATTCGCGAAACGAGACTGGCGCAGATCGATCTGGTGGACTTCTTAGTGTAACCGGTAGTAACATTTCTGAGGTTAGACTGCCTTATAAGGCATCTGATGGGTCACAAGCTATCTTAGGTGATAACCCTTCGGGTTATCCGCCGTCACTGTATCCAAACATTACATATTGCAACTCAACAGATCCTGACCCAGGCTATCCTAACCATACTGCTGTCGTAGCTAGGCCGTTTCCAGATATACGAATTGACTCGAGCGTTGATGGCATGGTATTAGGACCGCTCGTAATCAATGAGACATACGCCCTTATCTCATTGACTATCCCGATCCGCAGCAATCGGAACGATGGGGTGATACTTGGATATATGACTACGATCGCCGATGCTACCTCGCTCATTAAGATCGCTGCATCTAAAGAGGGATTGGGAGATACTGGCACAGTTTTACTCGTCGGTCCTTCTACAGGTTGGAATCGGTTCAGCAAGTATAACTTACCTGCAAATGGGAGCCACGAAGCGGCGTCTAATTTCTCGAATGTCGACGTCAATTTTGTCTTACCGCCGCGGGTGATGCCTGGCCAATCAGATAGGCATACACTGCATAATTATGCCTCTGGGAATTTCAATCAGCCTTTCAAAGTGACAAGATACAATGCGGCATACAGGGCCTTCACTACTCGGAACCCTTCAATAAATAATGCTAGCAGCTTACTTTCCACCAAAAATGAGCAGGGAGTTGACGTTGCCGTCGGATATGCTCGGCCGCAGACCACGCTGGTTAATTGGACACTCATCGTCGAACAGGACATGTCCGAGGCTTATATTCCTATCGATACACTTCGACGTATACTGTTAGGTTGCGTGTTCGGAACTGTTGGACTCACCCTACTTTTAGTTATACCTTGTGCTCATGTGAGTGTTTTGCCTATTCGCAGATTAAAGGCCGCCACCGAAAAATCTATTGCTCCTCCCGGCTACGCCGAAGCGTATATAGACGACCTAGACTACGACGAGGACGAGGACCATGAAGGATCAGGTAGCGGGAGTCGAAAATCTACCAATGGGGTTGTAATTCGGTTGAAAAGATTAATTCGGAGATCTACGCGATCAAGGATTGCGCCCTCGAGTCATGACAGCGAGCCGCGAAGACGGATTTTCAAGATTCCGGGCAAAGTCAACGATCGCAAGCACTACGTGACCGACGAGCTTACAGAATTAACTACGACTTTTAACGAAATGAGCGAAGAACTATTAAGGCAATACACTTCCTTAGAAGAGAAAGTTGCGGAGCGAACACGCGAACTCGAGATCAGTAAGAAGGCAGCTGAGGCCGCCAACGAAAGCAAGACTTTATTCATTGCGAACATCTCTCACGAGCTTAAGACTCCCCTGAACGGTATCTTAGGCATGTGTGCTGTCTGTATGGAAGAAGACGACTTACCCCGGATCAAGCAGTCTCTAAAAACCCTTTATAAATCTGGAGATCTGCTCCTACATCTCCTCGAAGATTTGTTAAGCTTTTCGAAAAACCAGATTGGTCAGCAATTAAGCCTAGAGGAGAGAGAATTCCGATTATGTGATATTCGGTCGCAAGTAGCAACCATTTTTGACAAACAAGTTCGTGAAGGTTCGATCGATTTCTCAGTCGCTTTCTTAGGCACCGAACCAGATACAAGCCCCAGTCCCGAACGAGCTGAAATGGATAGGAAACTCCCAGCTATCGGTCCTCTAGGGACTGGTAGGTTGAAAGACATGTGCCTGTGGGGCGACCAGCATCGAATTCTACAGGTGCTCATCAACCTTGTAAGCAACAGTCTTAAGTTTACGCCGGCCGGGGGGAAGGTATCAGTGAGGATAAGATGCCTACGTGAAATTGAAACCTCTTTCGACGTAAGCAGGACTTCATCCTTATCGAAAACTGGATCCGGTCGCCTAGGTAGGACAAGGCATAGAATGGGGTCGGGTTCGAACAAGTCAAAGAGCTCAAATGAAATTCCAACTCCTCAATCCCAATACAAGGGAGGAGGTACAGCATTGTCGATTAATCCCTTGGATCCCAAAGCAACACCCTACGTACGCATACGTGAGAGGTCACCAACACCACCTCCGCCAAGCGCGAAGTCATTCTTGTTCGAATTCGAAGTGGAGGATACGGGTCCCGGAATTCCAGATCATATGCAGCAGAGAGTTTTCGAACCTTTCGTCCAGGGTGATCTAGGCCTTAGCAAGAAGTTTGGGGGAACTGGTCTAGGGTTGAGCATTTGCCAGCAGTTAGCAAATCTGATGGGGGGGAGTATTTCTTTGAGAAGTACTGTCGGTGTTGGCACCACTTTCACTATGCAAATACCATTAAAGTACACCAAGGATAGGTAAGGCGATATGATCTAGATACTCGGATCGCCGGCTAACAGTTTATATATTAGGACCTCCAGTACAGCTTCGAGTAGTATTAAGTCACGCCCAACAAGCATTAGTAGTTCTGTCGACGGGGATACCAGAAAAAATTCCCTAACACAAACTACAGCGGGCGCCAAAGCTAATGTGCTTGATCAAAAACCGCGTCTTGTTGGACTTAGCCAGCCTTTCTTTGCTACCACCCCCAGTGCCAAGGCACAACCGACCCCGACTCCGGATGATCGAATGAAAGCCATAGAGATGGCTAAGGCAAGCAAAGGTGACGGGAAGCTGCGAGTTCTCGTTGCCGAGGACAACCCCACCAACATTGAGGTTGTCAGCAGGATGTTAAAACTAGAGGACGTGTACGATGTGACCATTGCAAAAGACGGCCAGGAGGCGTACGAACTTGTAAAGGCGAACATGGAGAACAATCTCTATTTCGACTTAATTTTCATGGACATTCAAATGCCTAACCTCGACGGCCTACAGAGCACTCGCCTCATTCGGAAGATGGGATACTCAGCACCGATTGTGGCACTGACAGCCTTCTCGGAAGAGAGCAATATTAAAGATTGCATGGAATCCGGGATGAACGAATTTCTAAGCAAGCCTATCCGTCGACCCGCACTCAAGCAAGTTCTTAAGAAGTTCGCAACAATTCCTGAGGAGCCAGAAACGGCATCCCAATTAACTAGGAAGAGTACCCCCGAAAAGGGCCACCGACCCGCCACGGTTCGGCCACCAAACGGAGAAGCCTCTACGCCTTCAGATTCAACCCCTACCCCCAAAGAGCGCCCCATTATGAATGGCGTACATCCAACCACGAATACAGAAATATGATCTCACCAACAGTCATCACCGCAATATCTATTTAAATTTACATTTACTTCACGTACCACGTTGCACGATATCTCTAACACTTGTCTATATCCCACCTTTGACTCATTTTTTTGCAGCAGTTATATTCGGAAAGGGTATTCATACGGAAAGGCCTAAGAGAATGGCGAACCGGGAGCAGGGACACAAAAGCATCTGGCGAATCTGATTACAAGGATGGCGAAGGCGTTACGGCTATTGTATTGTTTTTACTACGGGACCATCTCTCGTGGAGAAGTTGTGGGGGACGGCGAGACTTTTTCGGTTTCTTTGACCTTGCTGTAGGTCTAATACACGTTCCCAGCATGCAAATAGGGAAATATTTCACACATCGTTTTAAGGGGAAGGCAACAGCTGAGTTTTTGGATGAGTCACCACTTGGGCCAGGTAAATGACATTTAGGCCAGAGGTTAAACAGTCACAATTTGGTGATCAATAAGAAGGCCAATGGCTATCGAGAGATATAGCCGATCTGATGCAATGTACATATTTATCATATAGGTACTATAAGTATATTTACTGATTACTGATTACTGATTACATTGTAAATGTGTACCAACTTGTCATATATCGCAAGACTTCAATTTACTTGCTCTGCGATAATCTTTTGGACATGTAAAACTATTAGTTGCGGTTGCAGTAGAGGTGCCGGTTAACTTGCCGAACTAGTGAAGTAGTCAAGGCGAAGGACGTATGATTGGCGCTCCCGATCTCGATGTAGCGCACGGTCCGATGCTCGGGATGCGGAGAGAGTTTTGCGGGTTGATTATACCCGAGGATGTTATTATCGGAGATGTGACACATCCAGCTTCAAAGGTAGGTGGCTATAGAGTTTTACCCGTCCTATTTTATGATATAATTGATACATCGTATCTTGACTCTACGTACTATTCGTCACACATACCTCCCATTTATATCATACACATATTTATATTTATATTTATATTTACACGTTCACTTCATCACATACACTGTATACATACATACCTCCTATCTATCTATCTACCCAGCAGCAATGCGTCTCCCCTACGTCCCCAACCCGCCGCAGCCGGCCTCGGAAGACGAAGCCGCCATCGTAGCGCGCATCGCGGCTCGTCGGGCCCCGCGCCCCTTACAGGCGCTCGATCTGACGCTACTACACTCGCCACCCATCGCAGACGGTTGGAATAGCTTTCTGGGGGCGGTGCGCACGAAGACGTCGCTCGACGACCGGACGCGCGAGATTGCGATCTGTCGGGTTGCGGTGTGTAATGGGGCGTGGTACGAGTGGGGGCACCACGCGCCGCTTGCTAGGGCGGCGGGGGTTAGCGAGGAGGGGATGGGGGTTGTGGGGAGGGATGTGTTGGTGTTGGTGGAGGAGGAGGAGGGGGGAGAAGATGGGGATGGGGATGGGGATGGGGAGGAGAGGAGTAGGAAGGAGGCTGAGAGGGCGGGGCTTGGGGAGAGGGAGTGGGCGGTGTTGAGGTATGCGGATGAGATGACGAGGAATGTGCGGGTGTCGGAGGAGGTGTTTGGGGCGCTGAGGAGGGTGTGTAGCGAGAGGGAGGTTGTGGAGGTTACTGCTACGGTGAGTTGAGTTTGTGTGTTGGGTTTATGAAATAATGGTTATTTTATTACAGGAGGGATATAGGGCTGATGAAATATATATATATATAGGTTGCGGCGTATAACTGCGTCAGCCGGTTTCTGGTCGCGTTGGACGGTAAGTTCCCCTTTTCCTTGCGTTATATATCTTCTGGCTTCTATTTCCTTATGCTAAGGGGCAGGTTGAACAAGACAATTTTGGCTAACAGTTGCGATTTAGTTGGCGAGAAAAATGGTACTGGTCCTGATGCTGGACATTGAGAGGAATTACGGCTGTCACTGGAGGTTAGTAAGATAATAGAATCAGTTGCTTCTTTTTATACACAATGTGAGGTAATGATAGTGATCGCGTAGGTAGTATGAATACATATGCCAGCGATACTCTAATATCCACAGCCGTACCCTTTATACTATGATAAAACTCAGTATTGAAATGCTTGGATTAACCGCTAGCTTAGGTAGCTAGATATATTATCGACGCTATAAATCGATTTCCTTTCCCTAATATAACCGCCCAACCAGTTCTTGTACATCCACCTAAGCCTACACCAAATCCATCCAATACAAATGACATTCCCATGGGATAATAACCAATCCATGTAATACGGGTATGAGACGTGGTATCTAAATATCCCGATATGCGAAGATATAAAAAAGGGAAGCAAGCAGAAATATAACCCGTGAAATGTCCAAGGGAATGTAAAGTAGTAGTAATAGTAGTATGCAGCGAAGTAGAATAAATCAATCAATCAATCAATCAATCAAAAAATGGGGTATCTCGTGAAGTGACCAGAACTCCGCGTGGAATGGAATAATATGGATAGGCGTAAATGCTCATAAGTAAGCTCACCGACATCTCGAAGGGTCATGAAGGGTGTCGTTATACATCATCGTCGTCGTCGTCGTCGTGTATGCGATGTGCGTTCGTGTTCGTTCTCGTGCTCCTACATATTTGTACTGTATTCGTCAGGGGGTCGTCTCAATCGCTCAGTTTTCAACTCAAGTCTTGTTCTTTTATCTCTTGTCTTTAATTCATCTTTATCTTTATCTTTATCTTCCGGAATAGAGTCTATCGCGTCGCGAAATCGGCCGTTGTCCATCTCTGGTGTTGACGATATAGGGCTACCTAAGGGCGATATGGGGGGCGGTGATCGCATGGCTAGTTCTATCGAGGCGTGCCGCTTTTGCATGCGTGGGGATCGCTGGAGCTCCTGCACGACACCCATCCAGTTCATCTGGTGCGGTGGTTTTTGCGGTGTCCTGTGCGGCGTCTGGTGGGACGCTTGATGAGGGGTCTCATTCTTTTCGTGGTGTCCTGTCATGGACGTCGTCGCCTGTGTTGTCAACCTTCTTAACGGTGGTTTCTGTTTGATGCTTTCGTTCAGTCCCTTCGGAAGACACGGTCTAGTAGGCATCTGATGTTGGAAATGTAGAGCTGCCTTCTCCGGATCTTTCGGCGTTGTCCTCTCAGCCTGCTTCGCACGGTCCCCCGCCATCGTCGCAACGATACCCATATATACCACTAAGAATCGCATGCGCAACATATCGAGCCGTCGTACCCTCTCTTCTAATTGTTTCCTATGGCCCGCCCAGAGGAATCGCGCGCTGGTACGCAAGGTCCGGCCGCCCTCGGCTAGGACGAGGCGGTTCAGCTCCTCCCGCAGATCGTCTCCGCTCTTCTGGATCTCGCGCAGCAATCGGCCCAATCGCAGCTTATCCGCCAGCCTCGGCACCTTCTCGACGTCTCCATTGAATCCCTCGTTCTCCTGTATGGAAGAGTCTACGGCTTCGAGAAAGGTGGTTATCTCGTGGGGCGCGGCTAGGTAGGCGGTGGCGTAGGAAGTAAGGATGTGGGCGGCGACCAGAAGGGCAAGACAAAGGGCAAGACAAAGGGCGGTGACAAGGAGGAGCAGGGTCCACAGCAGCAGTGAAGAGGGGTCAAGCATGATGAGTTGTTGCTGCGTGGCGGATGGAGACGGGGGATGGGGGATCGGGGATGGGGGATGGGGAACGGGACCATAGAGGAGAAGGGGAATTTTTGACTATAAATTCATGGTTCGTGGGGTTTGATGCGAGATGGAAGGTGAATAGCGAATTAGACAAGTCTAAGAGATTCTTAGTGGAGGGTAGAAAGTGGTGACGTTCGTCTAGGTCTCTTTGGCTTTTTGTGGTTGGTGGACGGTTGCGCGTGAGAGGTCCGGAATAAGAGAGACAACTGACAACTACAGTACCTAATACCTAAGAATTGTTGAGGAGGCGTTGGTTCTACTTCGAGAAGCTAGGTACTTTAGCCCTTCGAGAGACCTGCTGCCGCTTGCCGCTGCCCGCGCGAACTGCAAAAACTTCTGCATATTAATTATGTACAATTCCGTGTCCAGAGGCTAGGGTTGCAGTCTATCGCCCAACAGCGGAGGCCGCGGGATCGGTGGCGCAGTGGTACCTACAGTAGACTGACCCCTCTTAAGGGTTAGGGGAGGAGGAAATGCATACGGTTATCTTATCATACAACGCCTCATTATAGGACGAGTTCTCGGGAAGCTTTATTATTCTATCAATAGAAGATGAATAAAAATGATTAGGTAATTCTCGCTTATTGCTACATTCTAAGAGCCGGTAAATTTTGTTAGTGTATGGGAATTATATAAGTGCGAGAACGAAGAGAATCTCCTCAAATTTATAACGTCTCTAACAAGCCCTAAAACAAGGATAATACTCAATGGCTTCTAAACTGGACTTCAGTCATTTTATTTAAATATAGTAATCTCTTGAGCGTCAAGTTCTCTCTAATAATTGCTCTGGGCATAGTATTACATAACAGGAGAGGGCTGAGTATATTAGATTCGGGAGATAGGGGGTCATTACTAAGGTATCGAGGCTTCTTTCGAAAAACAGTACTCCTTTTTAAATATGTTCAGTTAGACTATCTTCTAGCTTTCCTAAAAAGAGTATATCGAAGTTTACTTGGCCTACTATTAAGTATTTCTCATTGGTTTAACTACCACTTCATACCTTGGTAGGTAGAGGAATTGATGACAACTAACTCTTGGAACTTCTCATAAAGGAATTCTAAAATGCTGCAAGTAAAGGATTGAACTACTAAGTCAACTTTACTTTAGTTGAACCTTAGGTACTGTATATGATTTAATGTTTCTGGGAAAGGCTCTTGTATCTCATATTAGTTAGGTACCTAGACAATAAGATGAATTAATCTGAAATCAAGTACGGACTACAAACCCTCTTGGTCTCAGGAGTCAGTATAATATAGAAAAGCTGTGAAATTTTTATACTGACCGCTGGCATTTCAATGTTCACCGACGGATAATAATACACTTGTAATAAGTCATCTTCCTTTCCCACAGTTTTGTCTACCTTTACCGTCTATAGCCGGATAACCAACCTTGGGTGCTCATTTTTTAAATCCCTTACTTGACTTGGCTCATTGAGCAACTATTATAAGTTATACATAAGAACCAGCTCAAAATTGTTTAATAAAAGTTTCTAACCTAAGAGGTAGTTGTCTAGCTGAAGTATAAGAGCTAGAAGAGCTGAAAAAGAGTAGGCACCTAGGTGGGTCAGCGTACCGGCTAGGTTAAGCGTTTCGTCGGAGAACGGTGTGCCTCGCAGGTATCCTTGCAATGGAACAATAGAATGAAGATCAAAAGAGAAGGAATCTGTCTTGGTATGTATAGAATCTGCTCTAGGTGCATGAGCCTTGCTGCTTCCCAATCTTTCGGGTTCTTCCTGGCGAAGTGGGGACTTACATAAGCTAATGAATGAGGTGCAGCCGCAGCCGCAGTTGCTGCCACTGGCGGGCGCATATCAATCGCGGGGCAATTTGTGTTACAAAGTAACGATAAGCAACTCGATTAACTAACAAAATACCTAAACTCAATAACTTGCACCAGATGCACCGACACAACAGAGCTTCAAACTCAACCGGTTCATAATCGCAGTTTTAGAACTGCCTACAGAATAACCAGCACAATGGCGGCAGACACACCACCAGCCCTGCCATCCGCACAACAACAAGACGACAAAACCGATCAATTCCCCCTCCCCACCATCCTAACATACCCCTCGTCCACCCCGCCAACCCTCATCACCCAAGGTGCCGAAGCACGCCTCTACAAAACAACCTACCTCCTCCCATCCCTCCCCGCAGCGCTCAAATACCGCCCGCCCAAACCATGGCGCCACCCCGCCCTCGACGCACGCCTGACGCGCCACCGCATCCTAGCCGAAGCTCGGGTCCTAGCGCGGTGCCGACGCGCGGGCGTCCCCGTCCCCGCCGTATACGCGGTCGACGAGGCAGCCGGGTGGTTGGCCATGGAGTGGGTGGGGGGGCCGCCCGCGCGCGCCGCGATTAACGAGTGGTTGCGGCGGAGGAAGGAAGCCGAGAACGCTAGGGGGAACGAAGGGGATGCTGTTCCGGTTACGGGCGAGAAAGAGGAAGATGCGGATTTGGTGGCGCTGATGCGGAGGATAGGAAGTGCGGTGGGACGGATGCATGGCGTGGGTGTTGTACATGGTGATTTGACGACGAGTAATATGATGTTGCGGCCGTGGGAGAAGGGTCGGGAGCCGGCGAATGGGCACGCAGGAGACGGTGGTGGTGATGGATTACTGGATGGTGATATTGTGATTATCGATTTTGGTCTTGCGAGCCAGAGCACGTCTGATGAAGACCGCGCCGTCGACTTATATGTTCTGGAGAGAGCGTTTGCCAGCACGCACTCTCGCGCGGAAGGGTTATTTACGGCTGTGCTGGAGAGCTCGTATAAAGAGACTTTCAAGCAAGCGCCTGTAGTCTTGAAAAAGCTCGAGGAGGTTAGGATGAGAGGACGTAAGAGGAGTATGATAGGATAAAGCCACGAATTAATTATATTCGGCGAGTAATTTGATGCCAATGAATGCTATTGGGGGATCGAATTTGGTGTGTTCGCTCTGAAGATAGATGCATAATTACTACACACTCTAGACTTGTGTAGTTCTGTGTTCATGATCTAATGATGGTAGTCCCTAACCACCAAATGCTATTGTTGACCGAAATATGCGTAAGGAATAGATAGAACACTGGGCCCGCCTCATGCCTCTACCGTCTCCGCGCTCGCAAAGTAGCCTTTGTTCTCAATAACCCCACGGTCCTTTACAAACGCCGTATACTTGACAACCCACTCAGGGATGATCTCCCCTTTAAGCCCACTACTATGAGGTTCGCCGCCCGCCAGGACGCCAGCGCCCTGTGGTCCTTGGCCAAGAAGCTCCCGCAAGGTGCCGCTGGGTAGGATATCTGTAGAATCGTGATGGGTGTACAATTCGATGCCTTCGTCCTTGGCAAGTTTTGCCAGAGGCGGAGGTACATTGCAGCAATTCCTGATATTGATCTGGTTAACGGTAGGCCGAACTTTGACCTTGTCTAGAAACCTCTTTAGCTTGTCGGTGCCGAATTCGGCAATCCCGAGTTGTTTGATCTGGCCCTGGTTATACAATTTTTCTAGCAAACCCCACGTATTCACCTCTTCTTCGTCGTTGCCCATCGTCGCATTCTTTCTATCGGCTTCCCATTCGCAGTCTCCCTCGAATGCTAAGCCAGGGAATGAGGCTATGAGAAGGTCGACGTCGTTTACGCCTAGCTCTTTCTTAACCAACCGTAATGCTTCTTTAATATAATCAATTCTCTTCTCGGGAGGTGCTGTCGGTAGAAAGAATAGCTTCACGGTAATCTCGTATTGCGAGCGGTCCTCTTGTAGCCCGGCTGACTCCCAGTCGATGCGGGGCACATACAAAGTAGAATCTTCCCTTTCTGTCCACACCTCTAGCGCTGGTCGGCTGCTGTATCCATTTTGTCCAGAGTGAGAAGCATGACCATTGCCGTTTTGAAGTATGGAGGCGTATTCTTTTTGCGCAGCCGAGAAGTTACTTCGGAGGGAATTTGTAAGTTCGAGATTGGACCGATAAGTGCCTGGTTTCCGAATGATAGAGGGGCCGTCTAGGATGACGTTGCCCGTAGATAAGATTATTCGTGTCATGGTGATAGAGAGGAATATGCTGGATATGCTGGATATGCTGGATATGAAGGACTAGACAACAACCTCGATCTAAATAAGAAGATAGGATAGGTATAATATAGGCAATAATAGTAATACCATGAATGAATATTCAAGATAGGTAGGTAGGTACCATAGGTAGGTCTATTACCAATCGTATTTCATGCGATGGATGCGCAACGTAGGGGTGGGGTGGGTAGAAAAACTGAAGCTTTATAAATCGAAGTGGGGTCTTGATTAAATTCTAGTAATATTTCCATCCAAGTCCGGAGATAGTGAAAAAGGTACTAACCTTTTTACTTCTCTTAGGGTGTTGAATTCGACCTCCTTAGACCCAAGAACAGACGATAGCAAACCGACGAAAACCTTGTTGTCATCGAGGTTTCGAATATGAAGGAGATTACAAGAGTGTTTGGTAGTAAAAGAAGCGTGTAAGTCAATATTGATATATTGATGAGATGAGATGAGATGGGAACGCCGACTACGGCTTAACGCAGTGGTATTGCCACTAGTATAACAAGTGAATCGCGGGATTTGATCGCATGTGGTGGTGATACGACTAGCGGAAGGACCCCTAGATCATAGCGTAAGTTGTAAATATGTAGACAACCCATAAGGTAAGTTACGGGCGTATGGCATAGGTCATTCGAAATCAAACTGTCATGGATAGGTCACTCATCCACTCAAGATATGCCAAAAATGGAAAACCTGTACTAGAGACCATAGGTAAGTATTCACCCTTCAGTCATAGAATCATGTGGGGTGTTGCAATCAACGTTATCGCCAAGGATTCAGGACTTAGATTTACTCGGTGGATTGATAAGTCCTCTCGGTTGGCGGTTGGCGGCATCATGCCGTCGGCCTTATTTATTTTTTAATGTTCAGTTCTAGAAGCTGAAGAGATTACGAAATATGTATTGCAGGCCAAAATTTAAGTGCTGCAGGTCAGCCGCGGAAACCCGAATCCCCTGTTGGCAGGTGTTGACTAATACCGTGGGGGTGGTAGAAGTGAATCGGACCGGCGAATATTATGTCGGCTGGCTGTATTCCGTAATTTGCATAGGTACCCCCTTACCTGAATGCGGTCGCATAATTCAAAATTGACAAGCTCGTGCCCAACCCCACTACCGGCTACTAAGAAATTGCTTCTGCTTCTACTTTTGCTGTTCCATTCCATCAGCCATTTTACTACTACCAACATATTAACAACAGCAAAACGCACCCAATCCTCTACGGACCTTCTCTTTTCTCATCCTGCCATGGTAATGTGAGAAGCGTGAAAATGGCTATCAAGTATGCCATCAAACTCTCTCGCTATTAGCATCAAAACACAACTAACCATTAACATGACAGCTACTTGATCCTGCTGTCTCGGCAGGGCAAGGTGGTATGTTAATACAACTCTTCTCTAGAGCCCCATTCCATTGAAACTAATCGCACATCAGCGCCTAGCCAAATGGTTTACCACCTTGTCTCCCAAGGACAAAGCGAAGATCGTCAAGGACGTCTCTCAACTAGTCCTCGCTAGACGAACTCGCATGTGCAACTTTCTTGAATATAAAGGTCCGCCCCCTATTAACTACTAATATCAGACAAGGCTGCTCACCAACCGATCAGATACTAAAATCGTCTACCGCCGTTACGCCTCTCTATTCTTTATTGCCGGCTGCTCTTCCGATGACAACGAGTTGATCACGCTCGAGATCATTCACCGATACGTCGAACAGATGGACAAATACTACGGCAACGTCTGCGAGCTCGACATCATCTTCTCTTTCACAAAGGCATACTACATATTAGATGAGATATTACTAGCAGGGGAATTACAAGAGAGCAGTAAGAAGAACGTACTCCGCTGCATAGGGCAGCAGGACTCTCTCGAAGATATGGAGGTAAGTCGCCTACTTGGGTTTTTATTCATACTACTTGTCCTCGCTCCAAGTTACCGTTTCGGCAACCTACGCAAACTTCAAACCCTTCCCTAGCGATCCTTGGTCCCACTGACATAGCTTTTTTTTTCTGTCCAGGTCGAGGACGAAGTTACGAAAATCATGTAACAAGTTACAATGTATTTTTTTCTCGAGCGGATTGCAGTCCAAGAATGATTCTCTCAGGGCACGGCGCAACGGGTTTCAAATTATAGTATTATACACTCTGCATTTATAAACATGCTTACCTATATTCAATTATTTTCACAGGTCTCCAAAGAAGTCGAGAATGCGCTAAAGGAGGTCGGATTGATGTGATCTCAGAGTTGCAATGTCGTCCGCGTCGAACGAGCCGTGTTGCATTTGTTAAACGTATGACGGTCGTTTTGAAGTAACGCAATCTCAATGCCGTACCTCTTTCCAACCTATCGCCCAGCATCCCTTACGAATCGTTTATGCTACGAGCTTATCAGCAAGTTTAGGACATCTTCCGGTACATGTTTGCGCAGTTTATTCAACCAGTCCAAGACGATGCATATTATAAGCGAATAGGATTCAGCTACGTTAGAACTATCTGAATGCTAATTAAGCGTCCATCAGTGACGAAGCTATTGCATGGTGAATATGCTAGGGTTAGGTATGTTAGTTCAAAGCGCGCCGTTGACGCTCGTGGGATCTTGACGTTATCCTATTTGCTTAGTCTCCGGCTGGGCTATTAATCGCTATTGGTGCTATTGGTTTAGGTATAGTGGAAGGCTACCAACCCCTTAGCAGGTAGCTAGTATCAAGCCAGTATCAAGCCACACCCCTCCCCAAGCTCCGATAGTTCCCCTCCCCCCCTGCGCCCTGCGCCCTGCGACCCGCGTTACTGCGAACTTGCGACCGGATTCGAGAAGACAAGGAAACGGCACACGGCAAACACCCGGCTTCCTTGGGGGTCTTGGTTCCTTGTCAGCCATGTCAGACAAGCACCAAACACCTGATCAATCACCGCAACACATTATCTCCCCCCCGGCACTCCAATCCGAGAAACCGTCGCAACTCACCTCTTCCACCTTCAAAGGCTTCAATTATACATTCGACGATCATAATACTCATTATATACCAATTACGATTACACTTCTACTACGTAATGTCCTGCGCTCCCTGCGTCTACTAGACGATACAACGTCTAGTTTATTCTATTTGAATCAATATTGCAGGGATTGAAGTGCGCATTCGTTGTCTTTCTTTATCAGCTTACGGGCTGCTGCGTCAACTACGCACACATCGTCAGGACGATAATTATCTTTTAACCAGCAACTCACTACTCCAGACCAGGTGTCACCCGTTTACTGGTCGACTCCGGTCTTCTTAACGATCCTTCGAGGCCATACGCAGCTATTTTCCATCGGCTCCGAGCTTTCGTTTCATCTCGCGGTTAGCATATACATTAACCATACCCGACTATTACCCCCTCGCATCATATGATATATTCATTTATGCCATTGCGAAATTATCACCGACGCAAAGATGAAGGTTAGTGCACTCGTCGTATAGGTTTGGAACGTGTTTAGGGATTTGGATTTGGAAGTATCGCAGGTCTTATCTAACCACCATCTTCCACGTAGTTTCTCCCGCTTCGCGATTTCGACGTCATCACCTTGGCGCTAAACTTCAGCACGGCTGAGTGTCGTGTCAAAGGCGGATGCGATCTTTACACGACAAAAGCGGCCGGTTCTGACAAGAAACTATACAAATCAATCGAAACATCTCTCGAAGCTCAACACGCGGCGCTCCTCAAATTTGGTGCGTCGCTCTCACCGCCACAACGCAAGGAGATGGCTGCATCTCTGAATCTATCCCGTTCCAGCCCATTTGGCAATATGAGCGAGATTTCGAGCCGTCGCACCTTTGCCTATCTAATTGCGACATTGAACGCGAGCCATCCCGATTATGACTTCTCCCACGTCTTGCGCCCGACGGACTTCCGCCGCGAGCGCAACCTACAACATGTAATGGCGAACATTGATAACACGCTGAATAGTGTGCGACCTTTGGGTTCTTCGCTCCTTTCACCTGATGCGAACTCTTCGTATCGTTCTTACGGTGGTTCTCCTGCGCCGAGTCTAGCCTCAGGAGGTGATACGATTAGTCCTGCTTGGAGTCCACACATGTGGACCATGATCGATAAGGAGATGACACTGAAAGACTGCACAGTATTTTCGTATCAACCGCTCGAGGACCCTTTTGATGGTGACGAGTCCGCTATCTGGCGTCTTCATTATTTCTTCTTCAATAAGAATAAGAAACGTGTTGCCTATCTATATGTTAGGGGTTTACCGAATTTAGTCAACTCGCCCGCGCTTGCCCCCCATAGGCGCGGGAGTAATGGACTATCCAAGCGCCACGCGACGCCCCTACCTGGTAGCTTGGGGGCGAACAAACGCGCTAGGTTCTGGCTAGGAGATCAACTCGCAAGTCGTATTATTGTCGACGATGATTATGATGATGACGAGTACGACGATGACGATATGATCCAGTATGACCCAGACGAGGATATTGAGATCGATCCATTGCATGATCCCTCTTCCGATGAGGAGAGCGATCAGTATGATGAAGATGATGAGGAAAGCGAATACGAACAAGTTGCGCATTCTGTTAGGGGCATGAGTGAAGACATCGCGGCGAGCATGGAAATATAAAAAAAACCGGCATGATATTATCCCCACGGTCGGATTCGGCTCCCTTTCCATTATTCCATTTCTTTTTGGCGTTCAAGGATGGAATGGGGATGGGGGCATCAGGATCCAGGGGGTAATGACGGGTATTAAACCAATAGACGACCTGTGTTCTAAGGCCAACAAGTCAGGCTCACGATGTCTTCAACAAGGCAGCACAAATGGATGTATGAGTTTTTGGCGTTTTGGACATGAAGGCATGCGGTTGCGGTTGTGGTTGAAGAGCGTGATTCGACGCTCGATACCCCATGATCAAATATCTCTGTTTGTTTTCTTTTGTGATAACTAGCAGGCTAGCTGGTGGGCGATTTGGCAAGCGCTCCGATGCCGGCGTGTTATGGTTTAAGCGTAGTTCTGATAATAGTACGTGCTTTCGTTTAGTGTACGGTTTGGTTTGGTCCAGTTCGTGCGATTGCATGAGAACTCTTCAGATTTCCGAATATAAAATACGAATCCCAAAGCTGCGCAGTTATTATACCGAAAATATGGTGATGTGTTCTAGTAGAGCAAGCATACATTAGGTACCTACTTTAGTTATTCAATAGTTATTCTAGGTATGGAAAAGCTTGTAACGCAAGATAGGTATGTTCGCCAGGATCGAGACCAAATCCATTATACAATTGCTTTTTTAGGGATAGGATAGGCTCGTGAGATCTTACATGATGTGTAAATTAATGGCAGCATATGAGAAAGAGTGCTTTTATATTATACGTTTCAAGCTCCTATTGTCAATCTGCGTTAACTGAGTTATAAAAATTACTAAAATCTTTCAGTCTTATCAACAGTCCCATCAATATTCCCCGCCAGTGTCACTAGCTGTACCTAAACTATATCGAGATATTGCTGTTTGAAACAACCCGTTTCCATAAATCTTTATATCTTCGATGACAACGTGTTGCATCTTATTAAGGGTTCTAGTTGCCACCTCTGGGATATCTCTAATGTGCATGTTACTAGAAGGGTTTCTCACGTAAGTGGTAGATAAATTTTAATCCAAGGGCAGCTCAGAAGATGAATACCCTCGCGGCACCAAAATTTATACTCACTCACATTCTTACTATTACTACTTCAATCGTGTGACAAAATATGTCCGTAAATTGGGGGATTATCATATCACAATTCGAAGAGTCTACATAGGCTGTATCCTTATGTGAGTAATGCAAGGTTAAGCAACTACGTTGTAGTATGAAAAGTTAATAGCCCAACTATGTTAAACTACTAGTATACGTACAGATAGTCAGGCACTCCGTTTGACAACCATCTTAAAATCACCTGTAATCAATAAACCAAGAGGTTATATTTAATAAAATGCCGTTTGATTGAGTGGACGCCGCAAGGAATTTTCATTTATTAAAGGTCCTCTTAAGGAAGGTTACTATAAGGAGATGATATTCGAACGGTGAATCCAGTGCTTGTTTTCATATTATAGATAGAAGGTACGAACAAATCCGAAGGTATATGAGTCCCATATTCCTTAAATTATATGACATGTGCACTTAGCTGGAGGGACTGTTAACTTTTGCGAATCCCTGGTGGTTTAACATATATATACATCCCACTATCTTCCGGATCTCCTCTATTCCGTACCGTAAATATCGCCAACCTCATCATCCTCATCACATCACACCTTGCAATTTCCCAATTTATCTATTATCCTCGTATCAATATGAGCTCGTCTGGATCATCGTGGTCACAAGATGGCAAGAAAAACGACTGAAGTGCTGGAGACCGTTCTGAACATAGAACTGGGTCCAATTACAACAACAGCGACGATAGTCCGAGCGTGGAGAGTGAGGGTGAGGAAAGCGAGAGCGAGGACTCTTCTGACGAGGGTGGTTCAAGTGATGACGGATCAAACCATGGCTCAGACGAAGATAATTCAGATGATAATAATTCAGACAGCTCACGCACTTATGTGAACTCGACTACTAGAGGGCTTAGCTCTGATAGTAGATTCAGCTCCGCTACTACTCTCGTCTGGGATTCTGAGGACGACGATGAGGACTCTGAGGAGTAAGAATATTCTTGTTTTCTTTCTCGTCAAGCGTTGATTTAACTAGGTAGTTAATGGGGCACGTCTATAACTGCAAATATGTGGTTAGAATGAAATACATTGATTGGCAGTGATCTATGAATTTACTATGAATATGTACCTGAACCTTTGAAATATGATAGAGGGCTGAAGATGTAATGTTGTAATATTGTTAGTATCTCGAAGTATGCGAGTGGCTTAACCCCCCCTTTCGCCTATCCCTAGGAGACGGATATAGCAATCATTGCTGATTCTGTAGTAGGCTTAAGGGGTATTGTATTGACTTGTGCGAGGAGGCCGAAGTTGTCAGTACAGTCACGGACTCGAGCTGGTTGACGAGTCGTGTACGAGGATGTACTACCGTAAGGGATGGCACAACACTATTTAGTACGTAGGGGACGAGTCCTTAGATACGACGTGAGAAATCACATCTGCTCCTTGCGCAACATATGTGCTGTTTCATTGCTGTAAGTTCGCATTGTGACACTATCTCCAAATCATCAGTACTTTACCATATCCTCGCCTTATAAAATCCAGGCCGTCCCCCATGGTGCTCAATCTTCCCTTTTGTATCCCAATTTGATAAATCTCGTTTAGGATACCATCAATTCTGATAGCTACCAGCCACTTGGATTAATATCGGAGGAGCTCGCTTAGCCATTGCCATCGCCGTTGCAATTCTTTACTGTAACCCGATAAGAAGGTTCTTCTTCTGCTTTTGGCCGAAAATGAGTTCTAGTTCATCCTCCGGCTCGTCGTCGGGCGACACCGATAACAGCGGAAGCAACCAAGACTCTTCGTCTTCCTCTGGAGACCAGTCGGGCCCTGGTAGCGGTAACACCGATGTGGGAAGTGATAACGGTGGGCCAGACGATGGCTTCATGTTACCTCCCTCGATTGAAGATCCGGATGATAGCGGCTATAGTACCGACCACGGACATTAATATGCCAGGATTGCGAGAGGACTTTACGGTTTCGCATATTATAGATAGCGCTTCTTTGGTGGTTTTGATGGTATAGGGGAAGCGTATATCTTTTATTCCCTCAATTTTATTTTCCCTGCTCCTTATGTGATTGGTCTTCCCGTTGCCCCTTTACTCTCTACTTGGTAGCGATTACGTAACTTCTTCTGCCTTACGCCTTATGACAATAAGTGAGGATTTAAGTGAGGAGTGATATCTCAAAAATCATATAAGGCACTTGCACTCATGCACCTACCTGGTAGGTCTCTCCTACATGTAAGGGGAAGGTGTGGTACGTATCTGTAATCCATTAAACCGCGTCGCGAATTAAAGTGGGCCCGCTCTCCAAGCTCGCGTCACCTTTAGGTACATCCTAATTTTTTGGGGCAGAGTTTGATACGTTCACGTTCAGCCTTCTTTCATCCCTCTTTTTTTCTTATAGTTTTTCATTTTACCTTCCATCAATCAACTCTTTTATCTGCCATCTTTTCGCCAACGACTTTCGGGTCATCTACGAAGATGGCAGACATCAAGATCGATGGAAAGCTCTTCCAGGAGCGCATTAATCATTTCATTAATGCCTGGAAGGCCGATAAACGCGCTGGGGATACTGTCTTCAGCGGTGTATCCTCCATTCTTATCATGATGGGTAAAGTCGAGGAGAACCCGGAATTCCAGAAGAACAATGCTATGCACGTATGTAATATCCGCAATGTTCACGTCCCTATGAATCGGGCGATATTCTGTTTGAAGAGACTGACTTTTGTTTAGTTCTGGTTGCTAGGCTACGAATTCCCGACTACGCTCATGCTCATCACTACCGACACTCTCTACATACTTACGACGGCGAAGAAAGGTAGCGACTACCCGAACTTTATATTATTGCGCGACTAGGCGACTGACTTTTACGTAGCGAAACACTTGGAACAATTGAAGGGTGGTCGATTTCCGATTGAAGTTTTGGTTAGGGGTAAAGATGCGGCCGCAAACGAGAAGCAATTCATCAAGATTGCCGATACCATCAATTCTGCAGGAGTGAGTCATATAGCCCCTTTACTGCATACTATTTTCCTCAGCTGACTTGATTTGGTAATTAGAAAAAAGTTGGCCTTCTTACCAAGGATAGGTCAAATGGTCCTTTTGTCGACGAGTGGAAAAAGATCTTTGCCGATAAGTGCAAGGATGCTGAAGAGGTCGACATTTCCGGTGCCTTATCGACCGCTGCCTTCTCCGTCAAAGATGAAACAGAATTGCGATCCATGCGAGCAGCGTCCAAAGCCTGTGTCGCGCTGATGACACCATTCTTTCTGGACCAGATGTCGGATGTCTTGGACCAGGAGAAAAAGGTGAAGCACAGTGCGCTTGCCGATAAGGTTGATAGAAAACTCGACGACGAGAAGTGGTGGAAGACGGTTGAGCTGCCTAACAAACAGAGATTACCTTCAGATTTCGATCCCGCATCATTGGATTGGTACTTGGGTCCTGCAGTCCAGAGTGGTGGCAAATATGACCTAAAGCTTCAGACAGAGCCTACTAGCGACAACCTTCATCCCGGTGTTATTATCGCTGGCATGGGTCTTCGATACAAGTCGTACTGCTCTTCCATTGCGCGAACGTACCTCGTTGACCCGAATAAGACGCAAGAAAGTACCTACAAATTCCTCTATTCTGTCCATAACCTGGTTTTGAAGGAGATCAAGGATGGCGTAGTTGCTAAGGACGTTTATAACAAAGCTTTGAGCTACATCAAGTCTAAGAAGCCCGAGTTGGAGAAACATTTCCTCAAGAATGTCGGAGCAGGTATCGGCATCGAGAGCAAAGATCCTACACTAGTGCTCAGCGGTAAAAACTCGCGAACTTTGAAGGATGGAATGACCCTATGCATAACAACCGGCTTCACTGATGTCGAGAATCCTTCCCCGAAGGATAAGCTTAGCAAGACATATTCCCTGGTCCTTACCGATACCATCCGAGTAACCAATAGCGATCCGGTTGTATTTACTGGAGATGCTCCTACCGATCTCGATGCGACCTCGTTTTTCTTCAAAGATGACGAGGAGATGCAACCAACACCTAGAAAAGAGAAGAAGGACTCCCGTGTGGGTGCTGTGGCTACTAAGAACATTACGAGCACCCGTTTACGGTCCGAGCGAACTACTCAAGTGGATGAGGACCAAGAGAAGAGGCGTCGTGAACATCAGAAAGAACTCTCTCAAAAGAAACAGAAGGAGGGTTTGGCTAGGTTTGCCGAGTCGACGGGTGGTCAGGATGGCGCGGAGGTGAAGAAGTTCAAGAAATTTGAATCATACAAGAGAGATAATCAGATGCCACTCAAAGTCAAGAATCTCGAGATCTTGGTTGACCAAAAGAACCACACCCTTGTGCTTCCTGTCATGGGACGACCGGTTCCTTTTCACATTCACACCATCAAGAACGTCAGCAAGAACGACGAAGGAGAGTGGTCCTATTTGCGTATTAACTTCCTTTCTCCGGGTCAGGGAGTCGGTAGGAAAGATGATCAGCCATTTGAGGACGCCTCGGCACAGTTCGTTAGGAGCCTGACGTTCCGTTCTCGCGATGGCGATCGATACGAAGAGATCACAGCGCAGATTTCTGCTATGAAGAAAGAGGCCACTAAGAAGGAGCAGGAGAAGAAGGACATGGAAGATGTTGTTGAACAGGAAAAGCTAGTCGAAATAAGAAGTAAGTGGATATATATATATATATATACTTTTCACAATATCTCTATACTAACTAGTAGCTAGATCGACGGCCTCCTGTTATGGACAACGTGTTCATACGTCCTGCGATGGAAGGGAAGCGAGTTCCTGGCAAGGTTGAGATCCATCAGAATGGTATCCGGTACCAGTCACCGCTTAATCCGCAGCAGAGAGTCGACGTGCTTTTCTCCAACATTCGCCACCTGTTCTTCCAGCCTTGCGCCCATGAGCTCATTGTAATCATTCACCTGCATCTCAAAGACCCTATCATCATTGGCAACAAGAAGAAAACAAAGGATGTGCAGTTCTACCGAGAAGCAACAGATATCCAGTTTGACGAAACTGGTAATCGAAAACGAAAATATCGCCACGGCGACGAGGACGAGTTCGAGCAAGAGCAAGAAGACCGTCGACACAGGGCTGATCTTGATCGCCAATTCAAGAGTTTTGCTGACAAGATTGCGGAGGCTGGCAAGAACGAAGGTGTTGAAGTTGACATGCCGCTTAGAGAGCTTGGATTCAACGGCGTCCCGTTCCGAAGCAATGTTACGATCCAGCCGACAACAGATTGTCTTATTCAGATCACAGAGCCGCCCTTCCTAGTTGTCACGCTAGATGATATCGAAGTTGCTCATCTGGAGCGTGTGCAATTCGGGTTGAAGAACTTCGATCTGGTATTTGTGTTTAAAGACTTTACTAGACCACCCGTTCACATCAACACAATTCCCGTTGAGTCGCTGGAGGATGTGAAGGAATGGCTCGATAGTAGCGACATCGCATTTAGCGAAGGTCCTTTGAACCTGAACTGGCCCACGATCATGAAGACGGTCACAGCTGATACCCACCAATTCTTTGTCGACGGGGGATGGTCGTTCTTACAGAATGAGAGCGATGACGATGACGACCAAGAAGAGGAAGAGGAGTCAAACTTTGAGATCGACGAATCCGAGCTCGAGGAAGCCAGCGAGTCTAGTGAAGACGATTCGGAGTACGATAGTAACGCATCCGAAGACGCCAGTGATGAAGGCTCAGAAGAAGACGAGGAAGACGAGGACGGTGAAGATTGGGATGAACTAGAGAAGAAGGCGAAGCGAAAGGATCGAGAGAGCGGTCTTGAAGAAGAAGACCGTAGCCGTAATAAGAAGCGACGCCACTAGACTCTTCGCCTAAAATATGCCGATCTTCATTGGGGGGGGGGATGTTTATTCGAAGCGTCGAGAGACTAGTCCTGTGGGTGCGATTTCGCAAGGCGAAGGGACCGCCCATTCGGAGTTGAGGTTGTACGAAATGCTTATTATTCAGCACATGATTGCGTCGAGCCGCTAGTCGCAGGTTTTGCAATTTTTTATTATTCTGCTGCTTCGGAACGAGGCTATGATAAGCTGAAGGCGAAATTGCGTTTGCTTATAGTTAATTCTCGGTGGTTGGCTCTTCGTAGAGCATATGTAGGCTGTATCGTACCGTAATGCAAAATGGACCCCCTGGGTATCGTTGACTTAATTCATATTATATGTGCTATCAGATGCGAATTGCTTATTCGGTTTAATTGCTAGATGTCGCAATGTGAAATATTCGAATAAGTTGATATGGCATTACTTCGATAGGAGGTATCGAGCACGTCGAATCGTTGATACATGAGTTAACTCTCAATTTTCCATGACAGCACTTTGGTATGTTAATATACTATTATCTAGGTACCTATATATATTGATATTGACGAGTATCCTCCGCTGTAGCTAGGGAGTCTTAGAGGTTTACACATAACACGCAACTATCCCACTCAACAACTCATAACATCTCAACCTTCCCAGACGGCCGGGCCGGGAGCAGTATACGTAGTCGGAACGGGGTAGTAAGACCAGAGCAGACCGGGATCGCTAGCCTTGTAAGCGCCGGGGAAAGCGACGAGCGGGCCGGGAGTCCCGCTGCCGCCACCTGTCACCTTGACTTGCGCGCACGAGAGGTACCTGTTGTTGTTTTATGTTAGTTCCTTTTACATCAAAATATCGTCTAATACTATGAGTAGAAGGGAAAGTTATTTCGCACATTTGAGCGCCGCCGACGGACTGTGCCTGGTGAAGGGCTATGGACTCGACGCGCACGAGGTAGTTCCCGCTCGGGATGTTCTTGGGGATCGTTACGTTGACGACTTTCTTGTCTGGGAGGGCGTTAGTATACAGTATAGGGGAATAGGTATATAGAAGTATGATAGTCAGGGGGGCACTAACTGTAAGCGGGCCAAGTAGCCTCGCTAGACCCTAG